GAGAGAACAGGGCTGAGTGGCAAGGAGTTTCAATATTTAGAAATCTTATATATGAGGAAGAGCTGGAACAGCTAGTGAGATGTGGGAAGTCCAGGAGAGCATGGAACCATAAAAGCTAAGAAAGAGGTAAAAATAAAGGCATTTTCAGAGATTTAGCATTTTAGAAAATCTACCTTTTTAAGGTAACTTCTTTTTGAAAAAATTACCTAAGGACATATAAGCAAAATAAGATTATAACCCAGAAAGAGAAAGATACATATTTTAAGAAATAGCAAAACCTAGGGATTCAGTGTAAGTGACTCCAGAAGGACAGCCACGTAGCAGGCCCAGGAAGTATCACTCCAAAGCAGGAAAGTCAGTATCCTTTGTGAAGAATGCGGTCAAAAAGAATGGAGTAGATTGCTCATAGATGATTTAGTAAGAAGTGCGAGGAAAATATCAATGGATGTGATACAAAAGGCCAATAGAAGACCAAATGATAATGAGAAACCCTAGAAAAACCAAAAGTATGGGAGCGTTGTGATCCAAATGTGACTCTGACTAAAATGTGAGCATGATAGAATGTGAGCAAAGAGCATCAGTTTGACTATGATGGAATAATTCACAAGATGTACAAATATATTATGTCAAATTACATGGGTGACCCTAGAAGAACTGAAAATAATAAATTAATTGGAAATTGGAGAGTGAGCTAAATGTTTGAAAACAGGAGTCAATCAAAAATGTCCAGAGCTGAAAATGACGAAAGTAACCAGCAAAAAAATTAAGAATGGAAATGGTTGTGCATAGTTGCTAGAGGGGAGTGGAGCCAGGGGTATGAAAGTGCGAGACAGAAAGGCTTTTTCTTTTTGTTTTATAAGTCTTTCTGTACTATTTTTTTTATCATGTATGTTATTAATTTCCTGGGGAAAAATGTAATGGGAAATAGGGTAGAATTTACATGGCACACTGATGTAATTTAATTACAAATTGCTAGAAGAGAAGGTGTGAGATCACGAGTTTTGTCCTCTCCCTCCCTCCTTCTTTTCCTTTCTTCTTAATTAAAAATGAGAGATACCACAGCATGTTTATTTATTGAGGGTCATATTCCAGTGTAACAGTGATTTTCAAAGTTTGGTCCCCAGACTTGCAGCATCAGCGTCAGCATCACCTAGGAATTTGTAGAAATGCACATTTTTGGGTCCTATCCCAGATTTGCTGATTCAGAAATTTTTGAGGTAGAGTCCACAGTCTGTGTTTTAACAAGTCCTGCGAGTGCTTCATATGTTTACTAACGTTTGAGACCCACTGCAGTAGAGTGTCATGGAATAAATTGTACGTCCCATGTTGTAAATTCCACTAATTCTGTATATTTTCTCAAATATCCACCTTAAACTCTTTTTCTTTGTTTGCCTAGGTCGGATGCTGAAACAAAAAGGGTTTTGGAAGAATTGACTGAAAAACTTAATGAAGCCCAGAAAAAAGAAGTGGTGAGAACTCTTTATTTATAAAAAGTTTTATTTCATATGTAGGTAGTGGGAGGGTGACTGGGTTGCTTATAGTCACATTAAAGTTTAGTAGAGTTTAACCTTTTGGATGGTATATGCCATTTTGTCTAAACATATGTTCTGGTAGCTCTTATATAAAATGTTCATGAATTTTAGACATTTAAGTTTGAAATATCACAGCAGTATATTAGATATAGAATTAACATTTGCTTTAATTTTTGAGTTTTATCATGGATAGTTAAAAGATAATTTAAATTTTATTGGCTCAGTGATTCTTCTGTCTTTTTATTAAATGATATTTGAGAAATGCAGAAGGCTTTTTGTAGCGGCTGTGTAGCACTTTCAAAGTATTTTTAGGTCATCTCACATAAATGTATAATCACAATTGCTACAAAGACCTCCTTGGCTCTCTGTTTTTGTTTGATATGGTGCCAGTGGAAAATACCCCTAATTCCTGAGTTTTATTATCTCGTACAGATTGTTGACACTCATTTTTCAGTGATTTATTTTTATCAAATCACTCTCCTTGGTGGAATTCAGGTAAAAAATAAAGTACATAGAGGTGTCCATTTCTTACTATCATCAGTTTTGTTTTTTAGGAGAAAAATATCAGTAGGAATTATCACAAAACTATTATAGATTTGTCAACTTCAGGAGCAATGTGTATTTATTCATTTCCCATAATACCTTTTGGGAATATCTTGAGATAATATCTTGAGATAAGGAGAGTTAGCAGGATTTTTTTTGAGATATTTTATTCAAATTGAAAGTTTTCTAGAAAAAAACAGTTTTTCTCTAGTTGTCACTTGTGTTCACTTGAATTCACAATTCAATATTCAAAATATTGATATTTTGAAGTTTGAATTTATTGCCTGCATGTGCTAAGAGATGGGTATGAACTATTTTTAAAGAGGTCAATTCATTATTGCTCTTCTTGCAGTGAAACTTGACTTTTTCAAAAATATGAATCAACACCTGGCTACATAAAAATATCTTTCTTCTCTGTTTTTGGTACTAATTTCTTTATGAAGAGCCCCAGAAAGGTGAAGATATAATGCCTGTCTTCTGTTGAGGTAGACAAAATCTTTTCAGTTAGTGTATGATGATGTGGCATCAAAGGTGTTATCAGGATATGGGCTACTTCTTTTTTTTACGTAAAGTCTTAGATTTTTTTCAGGCATACCAAGGACACCTTCAACTTAAATTGAACCAGTCTAAAATATCTCAAACATCACATCCTTCAAATAAAGGTCTTTCCAGATTTATGGATTGGTACATTCCTTAGTTAACTGCAGTGGTTTACACATCAAGGAGTCTGCACCATTGTCTGATTTATATATTTCCTAAACAGGAGCTGAATGTAAACATTTAAGAATGTAGCTCTAAGTTCCTCTTCGACTTACCAAAATGACATTCTGGCTCTTCTCATAAATTCTATTTAAAAAAAAAAATTTTTTTTGCCATCCAAGATCCTAAATTCTCCTAAATTCTACAGAGTAACCTGCCACTTGAAAAGGGTGCCTCAGTGGCCTAGGCTGTAGGAGTTCGTGGCTACATAGGTTATTAGGGTAAGGGCTTTAGGTATCTTCCTATTTTTGTCTCCCTCACAGTGGGAAGTCTTAGCTGAGGGGATCTCTGTTGATGTCAGATCTGATACGACTCCCAGGCAGCCACAGGAGCACTGGGATCCAGGGCGCAAGTGCTTGGAGTGGCTGTAGAGTTGGGTCCTTGGGCTCAAGGTCTTGTGAAACTACTGTAGTGCCTGGGACTTGAGGCGCAGTTTCACTCTTCAATGCATGATTGGATGCAGTTCTTCCACTGAGTTGGGCTTTGTTGCTCTGAGGAACGCTCCAGGAGCTCAGGCCCAGGGGGCTGGGATGTAGCTGTGGTTCTGACCCTGGAGGGTAGGGCACCATACTGGCATGGCTCTGGTGAGAAAGGGGTGGTCTGGAGGCTCAGCTCAAGCCCTGGAAAGCAGGGCACAGGTGCAATTTGGGACCCACAACCTACAGGACACAGTAGCAGCTTGGACTCTAGGGGATGAGGTACCATGCAGTGCTGATCCTACTCTGGGATGGTGGGACATGGTGGTAGCTCAGGTTCTGTGAGGCAGCTGCAGCAGCAGCAAGGACCCAGGAATGGCAAGACATCACAGTGGCTTGGGTCCCAGGGGGCAGGGAGAAGCACAGTGATGACTCTACTCCTAAGAAAGGTGGTGTGCCTTAGTAGCTCAGACTGCCAGGGGGCTAATGCAGTTCCAGACAGGTACAGTACTCTGGCTGTTCCGGAGAATGGGGTGGCACAGCTCAGATAAGGCTCTGATTCCCTGGGATGTGAAGTACTGCATCTACTCAGGTCCGTAAAGTGCAGGTACATGGATCAGAGGAGCCTCTGGATTCCTGGGGATATAGTGCCATGCCAGCTGTGGTGCTGGAAGGTACAACTGCTCCAGCATGCTGGAGGATTGTAGCCTCTGCAGGGGTGGGGCTCTGCGTTACTTGTGGCATGGTGTCGGGGAGACTTGTCTGTGCACAGGAGGACTGAAGTCCCTGCGGGCAGGGTGCTGCCTCAGCTATGGCACCAGGGGCGTGACTGTTCAGGTGTGCAGGAAGCCTGAGGTCCCCAGAGGGCAGGGCACTGCATCTCCTCTGGAGCTGAGGGTGTAAATACTCCACTGTACAGGAGGCCTGAGCTACCTAGGGGGTAGGATGCTCCCTTGGTTGTGACACCAGAGGTAAGAGTGCTCTAGTAGTTCAAGGATCTGGGTCCCAGGGTGAGGCATGACTTCAGCTTGGTCCTAGGGGGAGGGTTCAGCAGCAACTGGGATGGGGGTATGTAGTGGCTCTGTGGGTGCTGATCCCAACTGGGCGGAGGTGGAGGGGTGGGATGGTGAAGGCAAGGTGTTTCCTTCCCTTCTGTAAGTGGCCATCCTGGATTTTTATGCTCTGCAGGATTTCTGCTGCTGCTTTGCTGTTCTTTGTTGCTTTCCTTTAATTATTTTGGTTGAAACATAGTTGTTTATTTGTTGTTTTCAGTTTTTTTGTGGAGGAGAAGATCGCTAGTGCTTCTATTTGGTCATTTTGCTGATATCACTCTCAGAAGTTTTACATCTTATACATCTTTTATAAAATTTTTTCCTTGAATTTGATATCTTTCATGTCATTTTATAGGATATGATTTGATATTTTTTAAAACATTCAGTATAACAATCTTTGTATTTCATTTGAAGGATTTACTCTATTACAGTTAGTGTACTTGTTGATTTCATTCATATAAATCTGCTATTAACTATTTGCTTTCTATTGTTCCCACTTATATTTCCTTTATTATTTTTTTCTTGTCTTTTGGTTTTATTAGTTTTTATTTTTCTATATTCCACATCTATTAGCTTTCTAATTAAACCTTTTTTTATTCCTTTAATGATCAACGTAGGGATTAAAATATGTATCCTTGATTTATCAAACCTAATATAAATTAAGATATTTAGCTCTTTCCAGAAAGTGCAAGGATCTTAGAACACCCTAACTCTATTAACCCCACTTTCCACTTTTATTACATTATTGTCATGTATTTTCATTTTATATTTAATAAAGCCACAGAAGGCATCACTGTTATTATTTTATACGGTAATTGTTTGTTTAGATTTGCTCTTATATTTACTATTCTTTGTTTTTTATTCCTTTCTACATCTTTCAGATTCCATGTCTGTCTTAAGAATATATTTTAAAAATTTCTTTAGGGTGAGTGTGCATATACTTGAAAATATCCCATTTAGAATTTCCTTTAGCATCAGTTTTTGGGTGAGTGATGTTTCTGTATGTGTCTGAAAATGTCTTTATTTCACTTTCTTTGTTGAAAGAAATTTGAACTGGATATAAAATTCTAGACAGGTTTTTCTCCCCCCCTCATTCTATACTTTGAAAATATTGCTTAATCATTTGGGTTTGGGTTCCATTGTTTCTTTTGAGAAATCAACTGTTAGTCTTATCAAAATTTTTCTTTTTCAAGGTGATATCTATTTTTTTCTCTAAGTGCTTTTGAGTTTTTCTTCTGAGTCTTTGGTTTTCTATAATTTTACTATGATGAATTTGGTTGTTGTGGTTTTTTTAATTTGTCGCTTGATGCTTATAGTGCCATTATCTCTTCAGAAATTGCTTTTGCCTTATTTTCTGTCCCTTAGGTCTTCAAATTTCATGTAATGTTGAACTTTTCATTGTATCGCCTTTGTCTCTTATGCTCATTTCTTTCATTATTTTAGTTCTTCTTTCTTTATGCTGAATATTTTCTTCTGACTTTTTATTTAGTAACTTAATCTGTCCTCAGGTTAAACCTAATAAATTCAATCACTGATTTCCATTTAGTTATTGCATATTTCGCTTCTACAGTTTTTATTTGATTGTTTGTAACTTTGTAGCTCTTTGCCAAAATCCTCAATCTATGTATCTGCGTCTAATATCTCCTTTTCTATGGGTCTGCTTCTATTATCTCTTATCTCTTGTTTTTCTTGGATTTTGATTACACTGTTTTTGTCTGCTAATTATTTTTGATTGTCCAGTTGTTTTTGTTTGATGACAGAAAACCGACTTCATTTTTTGTGAAGAAAACTCAAATAGATAATTGATAGCCTAGGGCATTATTATGTCTGAGAATATATACATTTGCTTTCTGTCATAGACTAGGGCCCTTAGCAATCTTGGATTACCTTATTATTTGTTGAGAAATTTAAAAGTTAAACTTCAGTTGCAGTTCTCAAGTATTTCTTGTTTACCTTTACCACTAGTGTATAGCCCTTCAGGATTCCTGTCCAAAGGCCAAGAGGGTGATGAATCAGGGACCCTTTACTTGGAAGACTCTCAACTTCATTTTTTTCCCATTTAACTTCATAAATCTCCTAAAAACTCTGTTCAGCTTTTCAGTGTCTCAGCTGCCTTTTCTGAAATGAGCTGATATTTCAAGTGAAAAGTGGTCCTAAAAATGGACTG